CTTCTATCGGGGGGACCAGGCCCCGGCTGCGCTGCTGCGGAGGCGTAAGGGTGAAGTAGTGGTTCGTGTGGAAGTATGACGGCGGCTCGAGGCGAAACGGGATACGGAGTGCATCAGAAGTGGGCGAGGAGGTTACAGAGGAACCAACAGCGGCATAAGCATGATTTCTCGGAGGTCCGCGCGGATGTCTTGTATCGGCGCTGGCCGCCCTCCCTGGCGCCATCGGAGGTGCCCCCGTTTGAATTTCGCTGGCTGCCACAGCCTCGTCGGGGAAGCGGCGCCACAGCTCCTGCGATTCCTGGAGGGCGAGGCCCTTTCTGGAACGCTCCACGTGTCGAGCCTGCGGGGCTGCAGAGACAGCACACCTAAATCTAGACCTGGCCCACCTGCCTCAACTGCCCTGGCTACACATGCGCGCGTATCGTGCACACATAACCGCTCAAGGTCTTCAACAGGGCCGCCGAAACATAATCAGCTACGCCCTATTGGGGCCGCTGGAAAATCTGGCGACCCCCCTGTCCGGCCATCAGGCTGCGAGGGTTAGGCTTGCTGCTCCCTGCGCCAGTTCCAGCTTCCAGTTTCCAATGTTACAGTCCTGGTTTCTGCTTCCTATGGTAAATTGCTGAAGTCCGCGCGAGGGGGGGGAGCCGAAAAGGTCCTTGGGCTTCCTGGGGCCTCCGGGAGCCTCTTGGGTCCTCCTGGGGCTTCTTGGGGCTTCGAGTGGCCTCCTGAGGCCTCCTGGAGCCTCGCGTGGCCTCCTGAGGCCTCCTGGAGCCCCCTGGGACCTCCTAAGAAGAATTCGCGCCCAAGGAGAGGCCCAATCTATAGGAACAGACGTACACAAAACATTGCGGATTGGAGCCGCAGGAACAGGGCAATCTATAGTAGAATCTATAGGAACACACGTAAAATACCAAGGGTTCGTGCCCCAGGAGAAGCCCAATCTATAGGAACAGCCGTACATAAAACATTGCGGATTGGAGCCGCAGGAGAAGGGCAATCTATAGGAACACGCGTACAATACCCAGGATTCGTGCCCCAGGGCAGGCCCAATCTATAGAAACATACATATAACATCAAGGATTCGTGCTCCAGGTGAGGCCCAATCTATAGGAACATACGTTAAACACATGGGATTGGAGCCACTCCTGCTGCCTTCTGAGGCCTCCTGCTCCTGGGGCCTCTCGGGGCCTCCTGTTGCCTTCCGGGGCCTCCTGGCGCTTCCTGTGGCCTCCTGGGGCCTCCTGTGGCTTCCTGAAGCCTCCTGGAACTCACTGGGGCCTCCTGGAGCCTCTTGGGACATCCTGTGGCTTCTTGAGTCTTCCTGTGGCCTCCTGATGCCTCCTGGGACCTCATGTGGCCTCCTGGGGCCTCCTGAAGCCTGCTGAAGCCTCCTGTGGCATCCTGGGGAGAATATGTTCCCACGGGTCTGGCCACTAAAACAGGCAAACCGATCGAGACATCATCAAAATCTGGCCCCCCTGGTGGGCGAAAATGAGCGTCTCGCTCGAGACATCCTCCAAATCTGCTCCGAAAGCGGAGGATGTTGAGCATGCAAATGCGCAAACCGCTCGAACCATCCCCGCCATTTGGGCGCGAACGGAGGCCGTGCAATACCCCTGGCGGCCCCCCCCTTAGGAGGCGCCTCGCACGACACATCCTGAAAATCTGCTCCGAAAGCGGAGGATGCTGGGCATGCAACCAGGCAAACCGCTCGAGACATCCCCGCCACTTTGGCTCGAACGAAGGCCGTGCAATACCCCTGGCCGCCTCCTTTTTAGGAGTGCACAAGTCAGCAAGTCGCTCGAGACATCTTCATCATCTGCTCATCGTCATCATCATCATCATCATCATCATCATCATCATCATCATCATCATCATCATCATCATCATCATCATCATCATCATCGTCATCATCATCATCGTCATCATCATCAGCATCAGCATCAGCATCAGCAGCATCAGCATCATCAGCATCATCATCATCATCAGCATCATCATCATCATCATCATCATCATCATCATCATCATCGGCATCATCATCATCGTCATCATCATCATCATCCATCATCCATCATCCACCATCCATCATCCATCATCAATCATCCATCCTTCATGATTCACCATCCTACTCACATCATACTCCCACCACAATCATCATCATTGTCTAGTGCAGAGAGGGATGAGGGATGTGAGAGGTCCGGCGCGGTCAGAGAATTATTTACTGCGTGGAGCTCCCCATGTGTTCCTTTTTTCGCATGGACCTGTCCGCCGTGAGAGTCTAGGCACAAGAGTTTTCGAATAGAAGCGGGCTTGAGTTGTGACGGTCTGGTCATGAATCTAACTTCGAACGGATTGGAGCGTGAATGAGTCTCGGTAGTACAAGCGCGTCTCTGCGCATGAGCCTGGGGCCTCCTGGGGCCTCCAGAAACCTCCTGGGCCGTCCTGGGGCCTCCAGGAGCCTCTTGGGGCCTCCTGGGGCCTCTTGGGGCTTCGAGTGGCCTCCTGAGGCCTCCTGGAGCCTCTCGTAGGCTCCTGGAGCCTCCTGGAGCCTCCTGGGACCTCCTAGGGAGGATTCGTGCCCCAGGAGAAGCCCGATCTATAGGAACATACGTACATAAAACATTGCGGATTGGAGCCGCAGGAAAAGGGCAGTGTATAGGAGCACACGTAAAACACCAAGGACTCGTGCCCCAGGGGAGGCCCAATCTATAGGAACAGACGTAAAACATTTAGGACTGCTTACACAGGAGAAGGACAAGATATAGAAACATACGTGTAACATCAAGGATTCGTGCTCCAGCGAGGCCCAATCTATAGGAGTATACTTAAAACACATGGGATTGGAGCCACTCCCTGTTGCCTTCTGAAGCCTCCTGCTCCTGGGGCCTCTCGGGGCCTCCTGTTGCCTGGGCCTCCTGGCGCTTCCTGTGGCCTCCTGGGGCCTCCTGTGGCTCCCTGAGGCCTCCTGGAGCTTCCTGGGGCCTCCTGGAGCCTCTTGGGACATCCTGTGGCCTCTTGCATCTTCCTGTGGCCTCCTGATGCCTCCTGGGACCTCATGTGGCCTCCTGGGGCCTCCTGAAGCCTGCTGAAGCCTCCTGTGGCATCCTGGGGAGAATCTGTTCCCACGGGTCTGGCCACCAAAACAGGCAAACCGATCGAGACATCATCAAAATCTGGCCCCCCTGGGGGGCGACAATGAGCGCCTCGCTCGAGACATCCTCCAAATCTGCTCTGAAAGCGGAGGATGTTGGGGACCAAGACAAGCAAACCGCCTGAGACATCCCCGCCATTTGGGCGCGAACGGAGGCCGTGCAATACCCCTGGCGGCCCCCCCTTAGGAGTGCTAAAACCAGCAAGCCGCTCGAGACGTCCTCATCATCTGCTCATCGCCATCATCATCATCATCATCATCATCATCATCATCATCATCATCATCATCATCATCATCATCATCATCAGCATCAGCATCAGCATCAGCATCAGCATCAGCATCAGCATCAGCATCAGCATCAGCATCATCAGCAGCAGCATCATCACCATCACCATCACCATCACCATCACCATCATCATACTCAACCATCATTCACCATAACCATCATACTCACATGATACTCTCACCATACCATGGTCATCGTCATGACAATCATTATCACTGTCTAATGCAGAGAAGGAGGAGGGGAGGGGTGGTCCAGCGCGGTCGGAGAATAACAAGAATCCCATCCTTTGGATATGGGGAATAACAAGATACCCGGCGCCCTTAAGGGTGCTGAAACCAGCGCCCCGCCTGAGACATGCTGCAAATCTGCTCTGAAAGCAAAGGATGTTGAGCCACAAAACAAGCGCACCGCCTGAGACATCCCCACAGACAGGCCGTGAACGGGCCCATGTCATACCCCCTGGCGGCTCCCCTTAGGGTTGCTGAAACCAGCGCCCCGCCTGAGACATCCTCACAACCTGCTTTCACAGCACAGGATGTTGAACCACAAAACAGGCAAACCGCCTGGCATGTTGAGCACAGACATCCCCACAAACAGGATGTTGAGCACAGACATCTCCACAAACTGGCCGCGAACGGGCCCGTGAAAACACCCCAGGCGGTTCCCCGTAGGGGTGCTGAAACCAGCGCTCCGCCTGAGACGTCTTCACAAACTGCTACAAACGCGGACGGTGTTGAGCACGGAAACGAGCAAACCGCTTGATACATCCCCGCACATTGGCCGCGAACGGGCCCGTGAAAACACCCCCTGGCGGCTCCCCGAGGATGCTGAAACCAGCGCTCCGCCTGAGACATCCTCACAATCTGGTCTATACACAGATGGCGTTGGCAACCGAAACAAGCAACCTGCCTGAGACACCCCCACAAGCTGGCCGCGAACTGGCCCATGCAATACCCCCTGGCGGCTCCCCGTAAGGATGCTGAAACCAGCGCCCCTCCCGAGACATCCTCACAATCTCCTCTATACGCAGACATCAACACAATCTCCTCTAGACGCAGGCAAACCGCCTGAGACCGCGAACGGGCCCGTGCAATACCCCCTGGCGGCTCCCCTTAGGGGTGCTGAAACCAGCGCCCCGCCTGAGACAACCTTACGATCTGATCTAAACGCAGACGATGTTGGCAACCGAAACAGGCAAACCGCCGGAGACACCCCCGTAAACTGGCCGCGAACGGGCCCATGCAATACCCCCTGGCGGCTCCCCTTAGGGGTGCTGGAACCAGCGCCCCGCCTGTGACATCGTCACAAACTGCTGTCAACACAGATGTTGGGCACCGCAACAGGCAAGCCGCCTGAGAGGCCGTGCAATACCCCTCTGGCGGCTCCCCGTGAGGGTGCTGAAACCAACACCCCACCTGAGACATCCTCCGAATCTCCTGAATTTGAATCAATGGCAGCGACAGAGTCTTGGCATGAGTGAATCCGAAAGAGTATGAGTGTGATTGAGTCTGAATGTGAACAACTCTGGTTGGTATGGGTGCACAGGAATCTGAGCATGGA